GGAATCCTCGCCCATGCCCAGCCGATCCAGTTGGACCCCTCGCATTGGAAGTTGGATGTTGACGATTTTATTGAGCGAGTCCGATTTAAGCATCACTCGGCCCCTGGGGAGGATGGCATTCCGTACGGGTGCTGGAAAGCGGAGGGGGCTGCTGATGTTTTATTCGCTGTTTATGATGAGATGTATCAGGCGTTTGGGGGTACTGTTTCGGCATGCGTGCGTCGAGGAAGGATGTGTTTTTCGCCCAAAGACTTCAAAGACGACGAGAACCCCGCTGCCCTTGTTCGGTCGCCTGATAAGACTCGCTCTCCCACGCTAGCGAATACCGATGCGAAGCTCCTGAGTGGCGCTTTCTCCATTGGCCTCCAGCGTTGCCCCGACAGTGATCGACCCGATCCAGCGTGGGTGGTGGTGGTGGTGGTGGTGGTGGTGGTGGTGGTGGGGGGGGGGGGTAGCGCGACGTGGGCTCCTTGACAACGTGGTTGAGATTGAATGGTGGAGTCTTCGTCAGATGCTTACTGGTGGGGGCCGCTCGGGCATTCTTTTCACGGACTTTAAGGCTGCGTTCCCCTCTCTGATCGTCTCCTGGATCTTGGCGGTCTTGGAGGCTATGGGTGTTCCTGGCGAGATTTGTTGTGTTTTATCGTGAGTTGTACCGTGGCAGTGTGGCGGGTACCAACTTCCCGGGGACTACTGGTATTGCGTTTTCGGTGGAGCGTGGTGTGCGGCAAGGTGATCCTGCTTCAATGCTTCTGTTCGCTTATGCGTTAGACCCAGTATTGCGTCGGATGAGGGCCAAGCTCAATGGCCATGTCCCTCGGATCAGAGCCTACGCGGATGATCTCTCTTTCTGCCTTCCCAACATCCTGACTGACCTCTAGCCGACGCTCTCGCTCCTTCGGAAATTGGAACATGCGGTGGGACTCGGGCTGAACATTCCCAAATGTAAGGTATTGGTGATCGGCTCGCTTGATCCTGATAGGTTAGTTGCCCATCTTCGAGCCAAGGGGAGTGAGTCCCACCGCATCGGGTTTGTTCGCGCTGTTTCATATTTGGGATTCTGGCTCGGGCCTGGGGCTTTGGACAGAGTATGGAGCAACGCCATCCCCAAGTTCTGGATGACGGTTCGGAGGCTTCGTGGGCTTGGGCTGGGGCTTCCACAGACCATTCGCCTCTTCCACTCGCACTGCATGTCGGTTTTGGCATACCAGTTACAACTCTGTCCAGTGACCACGGCTCTTCGGAAAGCGTAAAATGAGGCCCTACAGGTGATTATTGTTGGTCCCCGCCATGCCTTCTCAAGGGAGATGCTTGCGGGCATGCGATCGTTGGGGGCCTCTCTAGAATGTTTGGACATCGACTGTTTTTTCCGAAGGCCATCGAGTTTCGGGTGTTGATGTCTTGCTCCAGTATTGGTGCTGTCCAGTATGAGATGGAGCGTTGACGGTTTCCCTGGATGACGATAACTTCATTCCTGCTCGCCCGAGCTGGCCCTGGTGGAAGTCTTCCTGGATCAGGACCACGGTGACTGAAGTGGGCAACTTCTCGATCCCGACCCTGGAACCCATCCCCAAGAAATCCCTTCAGAAGAAAGCGATGCGCAAGCTCAGAGGGCTCCGTGACCCCACTGTTCCCCTCCGCACTATGGTTCAGAGGGTGTCCAAGTGGGTGGGTCCTGACCGTTTTACGGTAGCTGACTTTCAGGTGCTTGCCCACAGGATGCGTAAAGTTGAGAAGGACAGCGCGATGCACCTCGTCACGGGGGTCCTCAGAGTGCTGTGCCGAGGAGTCTGTACCTCCAGTCGTCTGCATACCACGGTGGTGGGCTGCGCGTTTGGGTGTCCTCTGGAAGCGGCTGACGACGATCTGAGGCATTAGAGATTGTTTTTTTTTATCCTCTGGGGGGTAACGCTCGTTACCCGGGCCTCTCCCCCCCCCCCCCCCCCGTAACGGTAACGCTCGTGCGCGGGGGGGGTCTCGGTCTTCCCCTCCAACATGCTGGTGCCCGAAGGCATGCGCACTGTGGTGTGGTGGTCGCAGGCGCACTGTGGGCGCTCGCAGGCCATTGCGGCGCTCGCATGCGCGATGCTGGTGCTTGCGGGCTTTGCGCTTGTACTCGAATCGTCGTCGTCGTCGTCGTCGTCGTCGTCGTCGTCGTCGTCGTCGACGGCGCCCGAAAACGGCCTCCGGAGGCCGAAACAGGCGGCAAACGTCGTCGTCGTCGTCGTCGGCCTCGTCGCTCGTCGCTCGTCGATCATCGTCGTCGCGCGCGCGGGCGCGGGCGTGGTGCCGGGGCCACGCGGCGGGCTTTGCGCTTGTACTCGAATCGCAAGCCACTGTGGTGCTCTCAGGCAGAGAGTGCTGCTCGCGCGCGTACTATGGCGATCGCAGAGCGCCCCTGCTTCGCCATACCCCGCCCAGCCCAAGCGTTACCGTTACCCGGGGGGCACGACCCCCCCCCCCCCCCGGGTAACGAGCGTTACCGGCCGGAATAAAAAAATGATCTCTTATCGCTTGTGCCCCAAATTGAAGGCTTGGTTGATTGACATATTCCCCCGTGGCGGACTTCTGAGGCCTTAGACCGCTGCTCTGACGTGTGAGGACTGGCTCCTCACTCTTTGTTGTCTGGGGCCACAGTGGGGGCGGTCGCGTGACCTAGTGGGGCGTGCCCTAACTGATTGTTTTCTGGCTGCGCATGACGCTCGCAGGACTGGCTCGGCCCAGCCGGGGAAATTTCTTATTAAAGCCAGGCTTCGGCAATTGTCCCGTCGGCACCCCAAGCTTAACGAGGCGTTACGTGTGCTTCGTCTGAATGCTGCTGCTGCCGCTCCTGCCCCTCCTGCCGTGCCCCTCCCCTCCTGAGTTGGCCGTGTCCCCCCTCTTTGTCCCCCCTTTTCCCAGTGGCCCCCCTAGGGATAGGTCCATGCATGATGCTGTCAGAGTTAGATGTGACCCTGGTGGGTCTCTCGGTTGGCTGACTGGGTTTCCGAGGTTTTTTCTTTTTGTCGTGCTTTCCCTACGTTCAGTCTCGTCTCTTGGTTAATTCAGGGCCCCGTGTTGTCGCCTGGGTTAGGGGCACTGCTCTGTGCTCTTTGTGGCCCTCTCCGCTTGCAGGTGAAGATGGTGAGGCGCCGCTTCGGGTATTCTGTTGGGAGAGGCATGCTGTCAGCTGTGGTGGACGGCTCGTGGGAGAGAGTGCCTCTCTTGCCGCGCCGCCGCCCCCCCGCCTCTCTCCGCCGCCCGCCCCGCGGCCGCCCCGCCTCTCTTGCCTGCCCCGCCTCTCTTGCTGCCCCTGAGCTACAGGTTCTCGGACGGGCGGAACGGTCTGGTTCGCTCGAGCGTCGATGGAGCGTCGCTCCTGTAGGGTAGGCAGGCCTTCCCGCGACGCCAAGCCGTGGCGCCTCCAGACACCCGTTGCGTCTGGCGCGGAGGAGGTCACCCCCCTCTGCCGCGCCCCGCCGTCGCCCTCAGGTTCCCGACGAAGTTCGAGGCGCCCCCGCAGCCGCTCCGCGCGAGAGAGCGGTCCCCTCTCGCCCTCAGGTTCCCGACGAAGTTCGAGGCACTTTGGCGGCCAGCTGTCGTGTTTCCCTTGTTCGGTGTGTTGGGGTCTCGTTTTTGGGGCGTGCCCCTTTTGTCTGCTTCTGCCTGCTGCGCTGTAGGTTGGGCCCTCGGTCAGCCGAGGAGTGAGTGTGGCATGGGAAGGATGCTCGAGTGTGTGATCCCCTTTTGGACGGCGTGCCGTGGGGGGGCGCGCGCCCGCCAGGGATCCAGTGCACTCGGAGCAGAGTGCCCGCCGCCGCTTCTCTTTGCCCTGCCCCTGCCGCTGCTCCTCCCTCGTCCTTTGCATGTTAGATTGCACGGTGCCCAGTGCTCGATGACATTCCGTGTGCGCGCTTGCGGTGGAAAAAAAAACTCCTCCTCCTCCTGCTCCTCCTCCTCCTTCCTCCCCCTCCAGCTCCCCCTCCTCCCCCTCCCCCTCCTCCTCCACAATTACACAATACGAATACTACTCTCCCACTTCCCCTGATGGCGTCCGGAAGATATTCGGCACCCCCCCGCGTACTGTTTTTTACGCGCAGGATTCCCCGGAGTTTTTTTTTTTTTTTTTTTTTTTTTTTTTTTTTTTGTTATGCTTATGCTGCTCTCGCTGAGGCGCTGGCCTAATTTTCGGGCTCCCGCTCCTTCCGAATCGTGTTCCCGCTGCAGCGCTGGCCTCATTTCCGCGCTCCCGCTCGTTCCGAATCGTGCTCCCGCTGCAGCGCTGGCCCAATTTCTGCGCCTCTCGTTGTTCCAAAACGTGCTCCCGCTGCAGCGCCGACGTTTTCGATCCTTTTTAAGAAGCCCCAAATCTAGAAAATGATCCCCGGCAAAAACATTGGAGGTGATTACACATCCGGTGTCGATTCGTTGATTTTTGGGGCCGCAGAAAGCCCCCCCCCCCCTTTTGGGCGGCGTCCTTTTCCGCACAGGATTCCCGGGAGTTTGGTTTTCATCTATGTTTTTGAAAATCCGAGTCTTTCCGGTCCTTCAATCCGGGTGGGGGACGCGCGTAACGGCAGCGGGCAGCTGGCGCGGGTGCCGCTCCGGCGCGGTCGCGTCGTCGTCGTCGTCGTCTTCGTCGCCGGTCGTCCTCATCGTCGTCGTCGTCGTCGCCGCCGTCGTCGTCGTCGTCGTGGTTGTCGTCGTCGTCGTCGTCTTCGTCGTCGTCGTCTTCGTTTTCATCGCGCCGTCGTCCTCCTCCTTTCCCTCTTAGGTAACAGGGTCAGATGCTAAGCTCGATTCGGTGAGAGGACAATGAAGTAGCTCAATGGGAAGGGATGGGAGGGAGGGGTAGGATGTCAGATGTTGACGCGAGCGCACCTAGCTTGTCCTCCTCCTCCTCCTCCTCCTCCTCCTCCTCCTTCGCCTCCTCCTCCTCCTCCACCTCCTCCCTCCTCCCTCCTCTCGCTCTTGGACCGATGTGTCGCGCGGTCCGAGAGCGCTGACCCTGCGCGGCCCAGGAGCCCCCGCGCGGGCGCGCACCCAGTGCGCCGGAGGCAGGCTGTCGGCTCGGCGGCCAGAGCTGTGGCCGCTGCCGGCGCTGCGGTCGCGCGGGGGCCCGGGAAGTCGAGCATTGACGAAGCGCCTTGCGTCGCTTCTATCAGGCGATCGCAAACTTGGATTAAGGGGGCGTGGATTAGCTACGGGCCCCCTTTTCATGTTAAATCGCGGATGTCCGCCGCCGAACGAGGCGGCACCGGCCGCATTCAGGGGGGGGCGCCTCCCCCGATCCGTGGATTTGGCGACCGCGCGCCAAATCCATGGATCGCTAGTCCATGTTTGCGCGCCCCCTCTCTTGAGGTGTTAGTTGAACATTTCTGGCTGAGGCGGTCTTGTTTTGACCGATCGGCTCGTGTTCTAAGAATGTTGGTTTTGTCATCCAGGTATTCTGTGGTTTAGGAACATTTCGTGGTAGGCCTGAACTCCAAACTTACTTTATTATGCTTATTTTGTACTGTGGGCCAATTGTCTACGAGGCCACCGCCAAATCCAACAAGTCGAACTTTCTGTTTTCGCTGGCGAGCGATGATTCTGCCTTTTCCTAGCCAAACATCGAGAACGCACCGAGGGCACTTGGTGATTCACCAAAATTGCAAAACTTCACTATCTCGCATCCAGGGCAGTTGAAGGCGGCGGAATCGTCCACAATTATTATTTTGCCGCAGTGAAAAACTTGACAGTAGGGATGCCTGGACGGTCGGTCCCTGCTCAAGAAAGTGCCGTCACCGCCGGCTGTCGTCGAGGATCGTTCGAGGATCGATCAGTCGTTGTCGTCGATTGATTGAGCATTGATCCATCCAGGATCGAGGATCAGCGGAGCCCCGCCCGCACCGCCGTCGCTGCTGGAGTCGGCGACGATGGAGCCCAGACCTCCAGTGCTTCGAGCAAAAGTCAGGTCGGAGTTCGGCTCGTCGTGCTCGGCGTTCTGGGGCCATCTTCGGGCTCCCGATGGAGTCGGGGGGTCGCCGTCGTGGTCGTCTCTGCGGCAGCTCACGACGCCCACCCCGCTGGGTCCGGTCAGCGCTGGGATAGTCTCCGGGCCGCTCATGTGGGGCCGGTTTATGCCGTGCAGACGCGGCGGCGACCCCAGCGCGTGCGTTCGAGGTTGAACGCCGCCAATGGCCCAGAAGCGACTAACATGGAACGACCTGGCGAACGAGAAGCTGCCGATGGTTCAATGTTGAACGATCCAAGTGGCGTGAGACACCGACGCCGAAGCCGTCACGACACGAGACTGCCGCAGTCTCTGGGCCGCCCAAGTTGGGCCCGAGCAGAGGGGTTCGGCGCCGCGTCGCCGACGCATATCGGCGGCGAAGCGCCATCCACTGGAGCCGCAGCCTTTGCCGGCGCGGAGGTCGTGCGGGGGCCCTGTCGCCATGAAGGTCGGCACGAGCGGCATGGGTACGACAAGAATAGGCACAGACCGACAGCAGGTTCTGCCAGCTTTGATCGGCTCGCTGTCGGTGACGACGCGGACGTGGTCCATTTGAGACAGGCGGCCGCCTGCCCAACAGCTGCCGCTGTCGGTTTTGGACGACATTTGTTGTTGGACATCGTTCTCATTTTTGTCCGTATCCATTTCGGGCGGCCAAAGAGGAGAGGGGTCCTCAGAGAATCGGGCCGTTGACCCTGGGGTTTGTGGTTGTCGGGGTCTGCGGGCGCCGAGCACTGTTTCCGACGAACAGGAAGGGCGGGCGTGGTCGCTGGGTTCGATGAGTTTATCCGATCTAGGAATATATCTCTTTATCTATGTTATCATAGATGTAAGATTGAAACGAGCCGTTTTCGAGCCCTTTGACCGTGAAAACGGATCTGGGTTGAAACATATGCACACAGTGGACCCGAGGATGGGTCCCGGGACTGATTTCGAACGGATTTGCCTTCATTCTTCTCTTGACCGCGGTTGGTCACACGCCAACATTTGCCGCTCCAGGGCACTCTTCTTGTACAGGGCGAATGTTTTGCCAAAGCTGCTTAACAACTTAGAAACCTTAGTTATTAGAAGGTCATCGTTTTTGATTCCTTGTTTTCCCGATCGGCGCGCTCCCCCCCCCCCGCATGAAGTAGATCTTGGCCGTTTTTTACGCCTGTTTCGGGCGGGTGGGGTCTCCCCCAGAGGCCGCACGGTTCCAAACCGTCGCGTTATGCAGAGGTCCAGAGCCATACCCCCCCCTGTCCCCGAGATTCGGTCTCTTTACAACCCGATCGTCCTCTTAAAACCGAGATAGTTTGTTCTGAAGCCAGCAACAGACATAATTCCTTGGTTTTCCTGTGAGAGCGACCATTTTACAACCAGAACAGCCCATTTTACAACCAGAACGATCACATTACAACCCAGACGGGGCTCTTTGCAACCAGAACGGCCACTTTACAACCAGCCTTCAGAAGCGCGCGCGGTCTGCAGGGACTTGTAGAGGCTTCTGAGCGCCCGAGCGCTCTGCAGAGGCTTCTGAGTGTCTGAGCGCTCTGCATACGCTTCTGAGCGCCTGAGCTCTCTGCATTGGCTTATGAGCGCTTGGGCGCTTTGCAGAGGCTTCCGAGCGCCCGAGCGCTTTGCAGGGGCTTCCGAGCGCCTGAGCGCACTGAAGCTTTTGCGAAGCGAATGTACGTATTGTTTGCGATGCCAAACCTATCATTTGAAATCCGCATGCGTTGGCCAGAATGAAACCGACGATTTCTTAGGCATTTTCCGCCCTCCTGGGTACGCATGCTTCCGCAATTGCACAACCATGCGATGTTGCAATTGCCAGACGATGGGGCGCGAAGACAAACACGGCCTATGAAGCAACACGCAACATTTGAAATCTACACGCGTTGGCTAGAGTTTTACAAACGATTCCTTTGCCACATGTCTGCCTTCCTGGGTACGCATGCTTCCGCGAATGCAAAACCATGCGGTTTTGCAATTGCCAGACGATGAAGCACGAGGACGAAAGTCGTCTGTGAGCCCTAAAGCAGCAATTCGGCATTCACACGTAGTGGCTCGAATGTTACCACCGATTTCTTGGCCACATTTCCGCTTTCCTCGGCGCGCATGCTCCCATTTGAGAAAACATACGGTTTTCGTGATTGTCAGGCGATGAGGCGCGAGGGCACACATAGTCCATGGTACAAAAAGCCGCAATTTGAAATCCACATGTATTGGCTAGACTGTTACCGTCGATTCCGTTTCCACATTTACGCCTTCCTGGGTACACATGCAACCGCGAATGCGAACACATACGGTTTTGCGGGTGTCAAACGATGAGGCGCGAGGGCTACAGTTGTCTGTGGGGCCAAACACACATTGAGATCCACATGTGTCGGCTAGAACTTCACCATCGATTTCTTGCCAACATGTCCGCCATCAAAGGTGTGCATGCTTTCGAAATTCTGAAAACATAATGTTTTCGTGCAATTTTCATACGATGAGGCGCGCTGACAAACATGGTCTTTGATTCAAAGCGCAAGCATTTGACATTCACATGTATTGGTTAGAACTTTTCCAATGCTCTTCTGGCCACATCTCCGCTTGCCTGGGTGCGCATGCTTCCGCACATGCGAACACATACGGTTGCGTCGTAGCCAGACCATGAGGCGCGAGGGCCAAGCATGCTTGTGATGCAAAACAAATCTGTAACCCGCATGTGTTGGCCTGACTTTTATCGACGACCACTTGGCCGCATTCCCGCTCTCCTGGGAGCGCGCGTGTTCCTCTCCGTCTTTTTGCTGCGAACGCTTTCTCTTTTTTTATTTCCAGAAAAGGCCGGGATTTCAGGCAGAGGTTATGCAGCTCCAAAAACGATGTAGGTTTAGGGCATTGGTGTAAAGAACAACTTAAACCGCCCAGGCCTGTAACCAGCCTGTAGCGGGAGGATCTTAATTGGATCTCAATTGGGTTCCAATAGGTCTTTTTGATACCACGAGGATTACAATAGAAGGCCATTCGGGGCCCAATCTGAGTCAACGAGGACACGTTTTTTTGAGTTACACTTGGTTCCGGGTAGGATCACAGCAAGATGCCCGCATGGGTCGAAAAATATGGATTCCGATTGTATTCCAATGCGATATCTTTCATATTCGCCAATTTGGTTCTGATGGGATTTCAAGAAGGACGTATCCTATTGTTTTCGAGTGAGAGCCCACAAGAATACCCACCAGGTGTCCATACAATACCCCCAGTGCGTTTCCCGCAGCATTCCAATAGGAAGGTTTCTCGATGGTAAGTCCTTGGGGTTTCCAATCCGTTTCTACTAAAAGAGGGCCCCAACGGGTTTCAATAGGAAGCGCCCCCATCGGATTCTCATAGGACACACGTCGGCCCCATATCGAGGAATCTTGGTGGATACCCATGAATGGGATTCATCTGGTGCCAACAGGATTCCGGTGGGAAGGGTGCCGATAGGATTCTAAGAGGATTCTTGTTGGATCCCAGTAGGAGTCCGCCATTTCACATGTTCTCGCTTCAGACGGGTCACTTTACAGCCAACGAGCTTCAGAGAGGGAAGAGTCTCCCTTACGTGGACCCACGGAGACTGCGGACATTGAAGAACATGTGCCGCTCATGTGCGTTTACTCGCCTGGTTGTAGAGTGCGCTTTTAGGAAAACTCATGCTGGTTGTAAAGTGCTCAATCTGGTTGTGAAGTGGCCGGTCTGGTTGCAATGTGCCCCGCACGTTCCTATCCCCCCCCTTTTCCGCCAAATGTCGAAATGCGGAATAAAACAAACGCTCACAAGCTGACATAAATCGCGTTGGCAGCTTCCATGCACAGTGATTGCGGCGAATCTTCAGAATTCCGAACGCATCTGTTTCAATAGCTTGGAGTCAAGACGTTTTGGAGCGCGCGGGGGATTTCCGATGCGCGACCTGCAGACCAGAAGATCGAAGCGTTCCCCGTTCGCTATCCTCTGACATTTTTGGTTTGTGTGCCTTGTGCAGACATTTCCAGTCAGTCTGGGACACCAGCGCCGCCGTGGGAGGCCTAGGCAACCCTGGGCCTTTCGTGTGCACGGCACGTTGCCTTTAGCATTGGTTGTCACAATCAGCCCGCATGGGAAGAATGGGCGACCTTCCCAAGGGTACCCTTGCATCCTTGCCTCCTCGGTCCATCCTTGGCCACTTCCGTTTGCCGCGCCCCGCTCGAGAAGTTTCGAAATGGGCGTCCAATGCTCTTGCATCCTTATCGCGCATCCTTACTCTACGGGTTGGCTGTACTTCAATTCCCTTCGTCTCGTTCCTTTTGCTTCTCCTCCCTCCGCAGAACGACGCCGCCAATTTTCAACACACGTGAGCGCCGGGCTTGGCTTGCCTGCAACCGGCTAGGACCCCCCGACCGCCTGCAGCCCTGGGGCGTTCTCCAGGGCCAGCTCCTCTTTGTGGGTACGGCAGGTGTGCGTCGTGCCGACGCGCTGCGACCCCGCCGCGGACGTTCAAGGCCAGTCGTCCAGAATCCGCCACACTGGCGATCGACAAGCCGCCGACCGAGCTGAACGCCCTGCGCGGCGTCATAAACCAACGCCTGGGTTGTGGCGACACGAACCTGCCGAATCCTCGACGGTCCCGGGGTCGCGGGAGGGACATTGGAAGGCCTTGGAAGCCCGGATGAAAACATACATCTTCCACGAGCCGTCTTTCCCCTGGGAGCCGTTTTTCCGCCAGAGGGAGGAGGGGGAGGAGGAGGAGGGCAGGGGGAGACGGAAAGGCCAGAGTACCGAGGAGCAAACAAAAACATGTACCGAGGAGGCGGAAGGCCCTACCGAACAGCTTGTCCGCAGCAGTCGTGGCCCAATCCACTCTGGCCAAAGGCAGCCAAAGGCAGACACTCGCTCGCAGTTGGCTTCTAACGGAGCTCTGCTCGATCCCGTTCTGGTCGGCCCTGTTTCAGCATCGGAGTGACGCGCGCTGGTCCCCGGCATGGATGCTCCGACAGGTTGTGGGACAGATGCTGACAGCCCTGTTCATACCTATGAAAGTACCACCTTTGGCTCTTTGATCGATCGGGCGAAGCTTGCTCACAATCTGGAGGTCACGCGCCTCAAGGAGGAGGTCCAGAAACTGCACGATAGACTGGCAGCTACGTGCCAGGAAAGGAACGACTCCTGTGCAGACACGCCCGGCAAACGACATGCGACAGCTCTGCCAGTGGGAATGCAGTCTGCCAGACCCGCCAGCAATGTCAGCGCGAAACTCGACATCAATGGCAGCGGGCCAGGAGGTGCCGCCACCAATGTTACCGAGCCAGGGGTCGCCTCCATCACCAGCCTGCACAGCCGGTGGTCCCCTTGTTCGACGGAGCGCGGGAGGCCCGATGCGTCGATGGCCACCAACAGATCGGGTACCAAATCGTATTTGTCGGTTTACAGCCACGAAGGGACCCGGAAGAGCTTGGCCCGAGGGTTCAGTAGCACTTTTCGACGGCAGAAGTCGCGGGAGAAGACCTTGGCGGCAAAAGGCTGCGTGTACAAACTCGTGGTTCATCCAGGATTCGAAATGTTGGCTGCTGGCGTGATCGTCCTGAACGGGCTTGTCATGGCTCTGGAGTCGCAGTACCACGGTTTTGATGTGGCTGTCTGGACTGGCCATGAGAGTGCACGTGGCCTTTCATATGATGTGTGGCCCTTCGCTGAAGAAGTATTCGAAACGTGTGAATGGGCATTCGGAGTTTTTTTCTCGCTCGAGGTTGGTTTGCGAATTCTAGCTCACCGTTCACAGTTTGTTCGTGACTGTTGGAATTTGATCGATCTTGCAGTGGTGGTTATGTGGGCGTATGGTCGCGTAAATCTCGGCACGACCATCAATGCACAGATGTTGCGTCTTCTCCGGTTATCGCGGTTGGTTCGGTTGTTCCGATTGTTCCGTTATGTGAACAACCATAGATTCGATTCTCTATACCTCATTGCAACTGCGCTCAAAGGAAGCGGTTCGATTCTAGCATGGTCATTCTCTCTGTTGTTGGTTTTGCACGCGTTATGCTTTCGCTTCGCTCACTCCGCAGGCCCATGCAATACCAGTGTATGTTTTCGAGTGTTTTGGCACGTGCCATGAGTGAGAGGTTAAGACCACGATGAGTCATACCATTGCACGCGAAAGGAAACGTTCATTCCTGTGAAGGTTTGGGGTTAATGTATGCATGTATGTATATCTGCATGTGTGCATGTATATATATATATCGATGGTCCCCCTCTTTTCTTCTTATCTGAGCGGCATTCGTTTTGTAAATGGGTTTTAAATTGAATTCCTTTGTGGGAAATTACAAATTGAATTTGATTGTGGGGCTTTTCAAATTGATTTTCATTGTGGAAATATACAAATTGAATTTGATTGTTGGGATTGCCAATTTGGTTTTACTTGTGGGGAATTGCAGGGGCTTGCCGTGCGGCCGCGGAGGCTTGCCAGGAAAACAGGACAAACAGACAAAACATGAAAAACGTTGTGTTTTCAAATGGAAAAACAGAAAACACCAAGAACACATGTGACTGCCAGCTTCGTTTTAATAACAAAAAACAAGTCTTTCCGGTTCTTCCCTGTGGAACACAGCGTTTTTACTGTTTTTTATTGTTTTTCTGTTTCCCTGGTAAGCCTCCGCGGCCCCACGGCACTGCTTCTGGAAATTCCCCACCATGAAAATCAATTTATAAATGGAGTGCACATTGAATTCTTTTGTGGGGAATTTCAAATTGAATTTGATTGTGGGCCTTTTCAAATTGATTTTAATTGTGGAGGTTTACACATTTAATTTGATTATAGGGCTTTGCACATTGGTTTTAATTGTGGGGAATTGCAGGGGCTTGCCGTGCGGCCGCGGAGGCTTACAAGAAAAACAGGAAAAGCACGATAAACAGGAACAGCTGTGTGTTTTCACATGGAAAAATATAAAGAACAAGGAAAACCTGTGATGGTCAATTGTTTTTAAACAAGTTTTATTGCTTTTCCATGCGGAAACCCAACGTTTTTAATGTTTTCCTGTTTTTCTTGTTTTCCTGGTAAGCCTCCGCGGCCCCACGGCACAATGAAAATCAAGGTGTAAATGAGTTACACATTGAACTCCTGTGCGGGGAATTTCAAATTGAATTTGATTGGGGGCTTTTCCAAATTGATTTTAATTGTGGAGATTAGCAACTTGAATTTGATTGTAGGGCTTTCCAACTTGATTTTAATTGTGGGGATTTGAAGGGGCTTGCCGTGCGGCCGCGGGGATTTACCAGGAAAACAGGAAAACCAGGAACACGGGAAACACGCTGTGTAAATGAGGAGCACCTGTGATTGTCAGCCTTTTTTTTAGATCCTTGTATAAACAAAACGTTTTTCCAGCTTTTCATGTTTTTATTTTGTCTTGTTTTCGTGGTAAGCCTCCGCGGCCCCACGGCATTGCTGTTTGAAATTCCCCACAATCAAAAGCAATTTGTAAATTGGTTACACATTGAATTCCTTTGTGGGGAATTTGGCTTCGTTTGTGACGTGTCGTATAGCGCATGATCATAAGTTAGTTCTGGCGGCGTCTACATATTTCACAATTGGTTCAATAGAAGAAATGCAGAAAAACACAATTGGTTGTAATCATATTGCAACACAGTTTGTTTGATGGACTTCCTCTTGAGTGGCGTCCATGTGCCATCAGTTTGCTCATCATATTTGTGTTAATGTTGTTTACTCTCCATTATTATGTGAATCGTGTGGTTCGTCATGACTTTATGTATGCCCTTGTCATCGTTGCCCGAGCCCTTCTGCATTATTCTCACCGCCACATTTCTGTATTAGTACGCTCTCTCATCGTATTCCTCTCTCCTGCTCCTCCTGCTCTTCCTGGACCTCGTCGGCATCGTTTTCGTTGTGTTTTGGAGCTCCCTCATCTTGTTGATTCTCATCATGCGCCCCTTCAGGTCGTTGTCGCGCCGCGCCGAGGTTTCGGCTCAAATCGGCTAAGATGGGGAACCCTAGAAAGGGTACGAAAGCTTACGCGGCGAAGCTAGAACAGAGCGCCGACTACAAGGCAACAAAAACGCCTTGAACAGTTCCTGCTCCAGCCCTGCACGCGGCGCCCGATGGCGGCGGGCGCCCGCGTGGCCGCCGCCAAGCTGAAGCGCCAGCTTGCGCAGGCGGCGAAAAACTACAAAGGCGAAGCGGACACCCTGCGGAGCTTTGTGGCTCTGCTTCGAAAACTTATATATATATATATATATATATATATATATATATACACACATATGTGTGTTGTGTGAAAAATACGTCCACTTTGCATGTTCGCTGCGCATTTCCGCAGGAGGCGGTCCAACCAGCACATGCGCAGCGCCAAGACAGCCCGCGACGATGCAAACCTCTTCCGCACGGGCTGTAAACAGGCGTGGGCGCAGGCGAACAACTGGAATAATATGTACCTAGAGGCTCGCGGGCGCAATCGGGCGACATCCATCATTCACCCAAAAAGTGATGTTATCAACGTGGTGATTTTATTTGTTGGTGGGTCGTCCAACTGTCGCCTGGTTGCGTCCCCTTTGGAGGAGAACAAGCAGCGGGGGGCCGCGGGGGCGAAGCTCGTCAAGACCGCGGCGGCGCTGAAGGCAGAGAAGTTGAAAGTCTGCCAGGACTTGAAAGTCGGCGCGGGGTTGAAGAAGCAGACGAGTCGCAATAACGCCCTCGCATGGGTGAAACCAACATATTCGGAGATAAAGAAGCACATCCTTCCTGACGGGCATAACCTTTTCGCCGAAACAGGCACGCAGACCGTCGATCGCTCCTGGTCCCACTTGAGAATGCACTTGGGCAGGCGCGCGAGCAAGGTCAACGACATATCCATGGAGAGACGTATTCGTTCTGCTCAGTGGACGTGCTAGGAGAAAAGGCCAGGCTCTGTGGGTGCGCGCGGGTGAGATGCTGCGGGCTCTGTGCTGATACTCAGCCGCGTAGGTACTTTAAGGCGCTGCGAACGCACGTTGAACCTCGCGCGTGAAAAGCAGTTGTGGAACATCCATTTCAGAAGGTCACCACATAATCAGTGGGGCATTAAAGAAGCGATAAGGTGGATCACGGGTGTGTGTGGGCATATGTACATATATACACATATAGATGAACGTATGTACTCGCGCGCGCGTGTGTGTGTATGTGTGTGACCTACGGCGCGCCGCCGTTCGCGCGGCCGCGGCGCCAATTTTTTTGTGTGCGTGTGTCTGTGTAGTCAGTCGAGCTTCTGAGATTTTCGGAACCGTCAGGTATTAATTCGATGGCCCGTAGGGGAATTCGAGGGCCTTTGGGGGCTCGCAAAGGCCTTTTGGGTTTTGTAGTGGGCCATTTGGGGCCTCGTTGTGGTTCCCAACGTTCTTTGCTTTCAGGCGTGTCTGTGTCTTGTTGTCTTGTGCGTTGGCGGAGCTCTGTCGGGGCTCTTGTTTCCAGCTTTTCTGGGCTACGCTTCGAGCTATCTTGAGCGATGTCGAAGCCAGCTGAGGCTTCAGAAGCCCAGCGGGTTGCAACGGGGAGCAATCCATGATAATTTAAATTTTGCTGTTTGGAATATTTGAGCCTGCCACGAATTTCTTGGGTGCTGTCTTGAACCGTTCTTGGCCGCCTTGGGTGTAGATGAGTCACGCCGGGGATGTTTTCGGGGCGTCTTGGGGCCTGCCGCTTATGAATCCGAGATCATGCCATGCCAAATGGAGGTCTGGGGGCATTACGGACGCTCTGCAAGGCACATCTCTTGGTACACTTGTGAGTCTTCGGAGCCTTCGCGGAGCCCTTTCCAGCTTCAGTGCCAACTTGCAACCTTATTGGGCGATGTTGGAAACATCATGAGGCCAGAGAAGCCCACAGGACGTGATTAATTTTTGATTTGCAGGGTGTTTTTCACTAATTAGTGCCTGCTGGGGGCCTCCTGGGGGCTGTCTTGGGCCACCTCGGAGCTATTTTGGGGCCACTTGCGGTTGTCTTTGGGTCTGTCACCCATTGATCCCCGCTCCTGGGGTTCTCTTGGCCTCCCGTGGGGCGCTCTGGGGACTTTTCGGAACCCTCTTAAACTTCTGGGGGCCGTTTGGACTTGGCTCGGGGCTAGCATGGGGCCTGCCACCAACTGATCCCCGTTCCTGGGCTGCTCTTGGGCTCTCTTGGAGTTCCCTCGAGGCGATCCTGGGGCTGTCTTGGGGGTCCTGAGGGCCGCGACGAGGAGAGTATGATTGGACGCGCATGTTTCCACATCCGCGCCTCATTCCAGGCCTCTCCCGCTGTGAGCGTCTGCGTGAGAGTGTTTTAGCCTGTGGTGTCTGAGCGCTCCCTGGCGGATTACTCTTGGAGTGCCCACATGTCGTGCCTGCAGCGCCGGGGTCATCTTGGGGCTCCGAACGGAGAGGGAAGTCGGCCGGCCACGCGCAAGTGGCGTAGGGGGAGGGGGGGGGGCCTAGAAACACCCCTGCTTGTTAGAAGGCGCGGGTCGCCTTCGCACGGTGCGCCCGATTTCTCTGCCGCTGCGCCTGTCCCAGCTGTCAGACAGAGAGGAAACAACCCCCTGTTAGAGTGGGTCAGGGAGCGCGGATGTCAAAATTCTCTATAGATGGAAAGCCGGCGCCTTCTAAGAAGCAGCCTCCTTCTAAGAAGCCTTCCCCCCTCTCCCCACCCCCCTTGCGGGCGCCGCCAGGTCGGGGGTGCCTAAACCGGCGTTCAGCTTGGGGCGTCCTTCCGATCTGGCCGCGAGCGGGCAGGTGTGAACGCCCCTGGCGGTTCCTCGGGGTGCTCCGTGTTCTGCTTGTTCTGTGGGCGGTGACTATGAAGCTCTCAAGTGACAGGAGTGGGGGGCATCAACCGAACGATCGAGATATCCCCAGAATCGGGGCGCGAACGGGAAACTCAAATTCCCCCAGTTGTTCCTCCTGGGGGTGCCCAGGCGCTATGTCTGCTACATCGTGGTGTTCATGGTTCTCTAGCGAGAGGAGTCGTTGGCGCCACTTGAGCGAGCCGTCCACGATATCCCTTCAATCTGGGCGCGAAAGGGATAGTTACATCCCCCTGGCGTTTCCTTTTCAGTGTGCACCAGCGCTATGTGTGCAGCATCGCGGAGAGCGGTTAACTTCCCGAGGCATCCCCATCGCCTGGGCGCGAACGGGGGCATGAAACACCCTTTTGCGGCTCCTCCCAATGGTGCCCTTTGCTTTGCTTTCATGGAGGTGGCAATGAGGTTTCCTGAAGGAGACAGGGCGCGGGCACCAAACGAGCGACCCGCGTAATGTATCCCGGCAATCTGGGCGCGGCAGTGACACACCCGGGGACGGGGGAACGAACCTCCCTCACGGTGGTTTCTCCTCGGGGTGTCCGAAAGCCATGTCTGCCACATCGCGGTGATCATGAGGACCTCAAGCTAAGAGGAGTCGAGGGCACGAAACGAGCGGACCGCTCGATACATCCTCAACAAATCGAGCCCCTACGGGGAAACGGCATACTTCCTGGTGGCTCGTCCTTGGGATGCCCGAGAGTTATGCGTGTTGCATCGAGGCGGTCATAGGTTCTCGAAAGAGACGCGTCGGGGGCACCGAGCGCGCAAACCGCTTGAGACATCTTGGAATCTGGACGCGGGCGTGTAGATTAGCTACTCCCTGGCGGCACCTTGTTGGGATGTTCGAGTGCCATGCTTGCTTCATCGTTGTGTTCATAGAGGCGAAGTTGAAACTTAGTGAATCTGACCGTGTGTGAGTCTGACTGTGAGTGGAGTTGAGATTGAATGAGTCTGGGATCGAGTGAGTCTGAGACTGAATGAGTCTGAGATTGAGTGATCTGAAACATGAGCGACTGAGTGTGCGTAAGTGTGCGTGTGAGTAAGATGAGCACGAGTGGACGTGAGTCTGACTAAGTTCATTTGGGTATGAGCGACTCGGAGTATGGAAGGGAGAAGGCGGGAATGGGTGAGGCTGAGGCGGAGAGATCCCGCACATCTCAATAATCCCAATCTAGGATTTTGGGAATCGACATGCCATACCTAAATTTCTTGCGAGTTCTTTGGGACCTTGCCAGGGGTCGCCCCACGAGCGAACCTCTCACCAGAGATCTTAGCACGCCTTTGGTCCGCTGGGCTGGCGAATTAGCGCTGGCTGTCAATCAGGCCCTTCTCGAATGGTATTTCCAAGAGGACCAGGCCGAGGAGCAACGATTGGTCTTCGAGTATTTTGGAAGTTTTTCCCGCGCACTCCTCACCATGTTCGAGTTTACCCTTGCAAATTGGGCACCCCCGGCAAGGGTGCTGACGGAGAAAGTGAACGAGGTGTTGTTTATCCAGCTGCCTGCGGCAAGTCGGCAAGTCCCGACACCGTGACAGTCTATCATTCTGGGTGGCGACTATTCGAAGGAACGCGGGAGGCCGTCACGTGTGACACGGCGGGTCTCTTGAGGGCTTTGGGGGCCTGTCGGGTGCTTTTTGGGAGTCTTCAGAGCCTCTCGCGGGCCTCTTTGCAGCGTCTTGGGGGCGCAATGAAGGCTCTTGGGGGCTCGCTGGGTCGTCGGGGGGCGCTCGTTGGGCGTCTGGGTGCTTTGAGGCTCCGTCTGGGGGGGGCTCTCTGGGTCGTCTTCGGGCGGTTTTGTGGACCTTGAGGGTCGTCTGATGACCCCCTGGGCCGAGAACTTGGGGTTGGGCCAGCTTGAAACCCTCCTAGGCCGACTTTGGGCCGTGGGCCGTCTCCAGGCCATCTTGAAGGCTTTTCTTGGCCTCCCTGAGCTGGCGGAAACCCAGATGTTGTCGCTTGTGCGTTTCTTGAGCAGCGTCAAAGCCCCATTGGAGTTCAGTCGGGCACGTCCCTCTACAGGAGGAATATTCAGACATAGTAAAGAATACTCAGGGGACGATTTGTTTAAAGTATTTTTTGACCATTTGGGGGTAATTTTTCACATATATATATATATATATATATATATATTTACATTCCGTCCAAACTTCCCCTGTAGGAGGACAGGCCCCACTTACCATTGGAGTGTTGGTGCGTCTCCTGTCCTTTGTTCCCCCCCCTCCTGGCTCCGGCCACCGAGCCAGAGAAAACTGTCTATCGCGAGGAGGTGCCTCCCCGATCCCGCGTGCCCCCGCTGCGCACACCGCCGTGCGGGCCTGGGCGGGGCCAGCGCCCGTCTTCCTGGCTTTCTTACCGCCACTACTGCAGCGTACGGCAGCGTCCACGACCGGTGCTGGTTCTTCGCTGCAGTGTAGCACGTGAACCCCGAGGGTTGGGTGGTCTTCAGCTGCAAGAAGGATGCGGCGGGGAGGGGGTCTGGCTTGCGCCAGAAATTCAGGGCTTGAAGGGAAGGCCATCGTCCGGGCCCCCCCGAGGCTGAAGCAGCGCCGGAGCCGTCCGCCAAGACTGCGGAAGAAGAGCGGCTCCCAGATAACCCAGGGAGGAAAGCCCAGAGGTGTAAGCGAGGGGGCGCCCCCCCAGGGTTGGGGACGTCTTGCTCGTCTTGAGGGGGATGCCAGCGCCGCGTGGTGAGGTTCAGGCGAACCATGCTGCCGCTTCCCGTTTCAACGCGGTTCAAGTTTTGTAAACGCGTGTTGGCTGGGCATTGTGTTTGAATGAAAGTATGAAAGCCCCGATGTAGCGGAGAGCGGAGACTTGGCGAGGGAACGACCCCCAGGCAGCAACCCCGCCCGCGCCGCCGCCCGCTCGGAGCAAACCTCACTCGAGGATAGGAGCTTCGGGCGGGCGTCACGGCGGAGAGGTGGCTGGCGGAGGGACGCGCAGAACTCGCCGCCGCTGGTAAATGGGTTCAGGGAGTCGCTGCGGAGGAGACGGCCAGCCCTGAGGGGGGCCAGCCAGCCCCGTCGTCGGAATGCGGCGACGATAAGATAGGCTCTGGCGGGGATAGCGCTGCGCCGCGGAACCCGGGGCCACCAGTGGGAGAGCAAGGGGGCAATGACAAAGGGCAACTGTCCCTGGCGCCCGCGGGGTCGGAGGCCCAGGGGCCAGAGCCGAACCGCAAGGGGGCTCCAGTGCACCGGCAGTGTCAGCGCACCTATCCCGCGCGCAAGGAGGCAGAGTGCGGCAGCGTCCACGACCGATGCTGGTTCTTTGCTGCAGTGGAGCACGTGAACCCCGAGGGTTAGGTGGTCTTCAGCTGCAAGAAGGATGCGGCGGGGGGGGGGTCTGGCTTGCGCCAGAAATTCAGGGCTTGAAGGGAAGGCCATCGCCGAAGACTGAAATTGCGGGCGGGCCAAACCCTCCGGGCCCCACCGAGGCTGAAGCAGCGCCGGAGCCGCCCACCAAGCCCGCGGGATAGGAGAGACGCCCAGATATCTCAGGGAGGAAAGCCCAGAGGTGTATGCGAGGGGGCGCCCCCCCGAGGGCTGGGGACGTCTACGCCTTCAAGGGAGAGCGCCCCAGCCCGATCTGCCGCCGGGCTTGGAGTGGGTGCCCACGGGGGAGGGGGGGCATCTGCCCGGTCATTGGGAACCTAAGGCGCAAGCCATTTGTTGCAACGTGGGGGGGGGCGGGGGGCACTTGGGCGACGACGGGGGAGAGGCGCAATTGGCGGCCCCAACCATTTTGGGGGGTCAGCACTACTCATCGCGGGGGCAGAGGACCCCGCGCCCGCTCAGCCAGGCGTCGGCCAGACCGCTGGGGAGCGGCAGGGCGGCGAAGGTTCGCCCGCGGGGAACCCCGCCACCAGATGCTCTCGGTGCCGCCGCGGCAGCCTCGCCAGGGCCTGACGACTGGGGACTCGTCCGCGTCCGAGGAGGTCGAGATTGGACAGCGATGCGCAGGGGCGTTCGTCGCGATCGTCGCGCTCTGGAGACCAGGAGGCCCCCGAGCCCAAGGCCCCCATCACACTGCGCGCGACGTGCGGATTGGAGCTCCTCGCCCCCCCCCCGTTTTTCCGGATTGCGTCGAGAGGCAGGTCGAAAAGTTGCTTTGGTGCTTCCTGCGCCCCAGCACGCGCCATGGGGGGCCATCTTTCTGGTCGGCCCACAGGGCGTCGGACGCTGCCCCAGACGACTGGAAGGGCGCGAACCCCGGGCGGGGGCAAGCTCACTATGTTCGCCTCGACAACATCAGTGGGCACCCATCGAAGGCAACCGCAAGCGTCAGGTTCCGCCATGTAGAGGGGGATCCCGCCCCGAACGGCAGGCCCAACCATGGGGTCCGCTGCTATTCGGGGCATGGACAGGATGGCGATATCGCAATCACTACATGCTCGCCCAGCAGGCTTTCGAGCGAATTCGCGCGCTGCAGTTGGGGGGGCCGGGGGGGCCGCGCCCGGGCGCGCAGGCGGGCGCGGCGCCGAGAGGCCCCAGCCTGGATCGCGAGGAGAGGGCGCCCGAACCCCAGCCTGGCGGCTGCGGCGCGCGGGCGCGGGGGAACCGGCGCCCGACGGGGCCGAGAGAGAGTGGGCGGCTGCGGTGGGATCCGGGGGGGGGGGGCTGTTGCACTTGGACGCCCCTCGCCTAGTTACTGGGTGCCAGAGCACCCCAAACAAGGGGGGCATTCCAAGGCAGCAGAGCGGGGGGCTGGATGCCCAACGGGTTCGTCATTCACTGGGGGCATGCAAATGGGGCCGCGTGGGACAGACCCCCGGGGTATCATGTGCGGGCAGGGGGCTTACTTTGCTTTCGCGCGGGATGGTGGCCTTCCCTCTCCGCCCGCGGTGCGTGGCGATCTTGAACGGGGCGCCTTGCAACAGAGAGTGGCACGCGGTAGTCGCGGAGGACAACGCGGCGCTCAAGGTCAACCCCTTTAGATTGCGAGTGGAAGCTGGGATGCGTGGTGAAGCAACGGAAGTCGCTCGCCACGAGGGATAATTTTTGGGCGGAGTCGCGTGGAGTGGGGCCGTTCCTGCTAGACTGCCTTCCGGCCCAGACAGCCCCCGTCCCGTCGCCTGCCCTCTCGCATGCCTCGCGGTCGCGCCCGCGCCTCGGGCGCGCGGCCGCGGCTTCTGCTTTCGTTCGCCGCCCTGCACGGTGCGCCCTGGCGTCCGCTCGCCCTGTCCTGCTCGCCCTTTTGTACGGTGACACGAAACGGCGCGTTTTGCGGACTTCAGGTCGGCTTCTCGCGCCGGGGATGGACGGGGCACCCCGCGGCCCTTGGAAGGGGGCCGAGGTCGCACTCTGTCGACGGACCCCGCCTCCATTGCCATAGAAACCTAGTGTTCCTCCCTCCCTTGTCCCCTTTCGGCGTCAGAGCGGGTTCCTCGGGGTTGTCTGTTGCTGTTCGCATACGTTCGAAGAGCGTGAAGGCCCCATTGGAGTAATTGTATTGTAATGGCCTCGGGCCAGTGCCGCCGATCCTGGGGGCTACGGATTCGGCGATCTTCGCGGTTCTGTGGCCACCTCCCTCCTGGATTCTTCCGGTCCTTTTTCTTCTCCCTTGGGGGGGTGCCTGGAGCGGTCCCAGGGGGGATCCGGGGACGGGCGTTCTTGAGGTTCTTTTGGGGCCCTCCTGGGCTGTTTGACATGTTTCTCGGGCAGATTGGAGTTTTGAGGCCATCGGGGGCGTATTCGGGTCATCGATGGCCGCAATGGACATTGTTAGATCATCCTGGCGATGTTGGCAGCTTGCCTGGGCCGTATTGGGAGCCACTGTGCATGTTGGACGCCTTGTAGAAAGCGAGTCTTGTGTAAAGGCCTCGTGCGGGAGACCTTGTGCGCCTTGTGCGGGGCTCTTGTTCTTGCCTTTGGATCCCTTTTGGACCTCTGCTGTCCAAGCGCTGCTCGGCACAAACACCCCTGTGCGCATTGTGCGCCAGCGCTCTTCGCTCCGGCACGCTGTCTATGAGAAACAATATAGAAACCCTACCAGACAGCCGTGGGCATTCTGCCGCGCCCCAGCGTGTCAACGGGGCAGGAGGCGGATCTATTCTGTAGTGCACAAGATGGTACTCGGATTCGCCATCATAGGAATCATAAATGGAGTATTCATCCAAGAAACGTTCAAGGCGGCCGCGCTGGACGATGCGCTGATGGTGAGGCAGACCTGTCGCAGGGAGAGGGCGCACATCAAGAAGATGAGGCGCCTCTTCAGCGAGGCGGACGAAGACAGCGATGGTACCGTTGACCTCAACGAGTGGTTGAGGACATGCGAGGGATGTGAGGGGGGGCAGCGGGCGAGGGGGGAATGGGCGGGGGAAGCAGGTGGGTCGGGGGCCCTCCTGCTCCGTCACCCTCTCGTCGCCTCCCCCCCCCCACGAGGATCGTCCCGAGGATCCTCGTGGGGGATCCTTTCCCTGAGGGGATTTTCATGGGGGACCCTCGGGGGGGATCCTCCCTCACCTCCTCATGGGGGATCCTCACGAGGGATCCTCGGGATCCTCCCGGGGATCGCCCCCGCGATCGTTTCCCCTCCGATCCTCCCGAGGATCTGCGACGACCAGTGGGTTCAGATCTGGCTCAGGTCCCAGGACCTCGACGCGACGGACCCGGCCAGGCTCTTCAACTTGTCCGGGGGCCTCTGGGCTTCTGCCGTCGCCCCCCCGTCTGCCCAAGGCACTGAAGGCTCCACCCTCTTGCTCGTTCTCCCATGCGTCAGGGGCACAGCCAGCAAGTCTGGACCCGAAGAAGAGAAGACTGCGTAAGCACAAGCTTTGGGCGCTCCGCGCGGATTTCTCGGAAGTGCGCTGGAGCGCCTTTTGGCGCGCTCCGTGCGCCTGGGAGGGGGGCCCAACGCAGAGATCCAAGAAATCCGCGCGGACCGTCGACAGTTTATGTTTATGCTGTGTTGTTTTCTTCTATTGCCGCTTCGCGTGTCCCCACCAACCCACCCAAAAGGGATGGCCATGCGAGTTGCCTCAGGGATGCGAGGCAGCCGTCAGGCCAAGGCCAGGGATCGACGATGCCAAACCGCTGATGCGAGTCTGCCTGGAAGGATTTCTGCGATATCATTATGATATACATGTGTGTATACATATATACACATACATATATATACACATATATAGATATATGTATGTATGTATTTATTTATTTTTATTTATATACATATATGTATATAGGTGTGTATATATATGTATATACGTATACGTATATGTATGTATGTATGTGTATATATATATATTCATGTATATGTATGCGTACATCTATATGTATGTACCATCTTTTTTAGTGTTCTGGCGCCCGAGTCGTCCCGCGCCTTATCTGTCACGTATTACTCGTATCACTCGTCCCATCACTCCTTATTTTTCGCAAATTACTCGTAACACTCGTGGCGAGAATATGATATTCTGGAGCTCATTTCTTTTTCTTACGAGTGATACGAGTAATATGTGAAAAATAAGGAGTGTTGGGACGAGTGATACGAAACGTACCTGAAAAATGGGGTAGGATGCGCGATGCGCTTCCGGGGGGTCCCGGGGTCGTTGGGGAGGCTCTAGACATGACAACGTGCAACCGCTTTGGCCGTTTCTTGCTTGGCGCTCGGACGTCGTCGTCGTTGTCAGTCGGCCGCCGCCGTGGTTCGTCGTAAAAGTCGAAAAGCAAAGTGTCAAGTTCGACTTGCCCCTGTCTGACTCAGTCCGGGGTAAGTCCACGGTTGACGGTTTGATCGTCGCAGTGATTGAGACGACTCCCCCCAGTCCTCCCCTCGAGCATTTTCCCGTGTATCTTTTCTTGTATGTTTGAGCCCCAGTCAGTTCGAGGGTAGCCACGTGCCGGGCAACATACCCACGTCTCATGTTAGTTTGCTCCGTCATTTGCGAGTTGGCCGAGCGATTCTGCCGGTAAGGGTTTCTGCGATACCATATTGAGATATGTGTATATGTATATGTATATAGATATATACTTTTATTCATGTATGTATATATATATATATATATATATATGTATTTTTCTGTGTACATCTGTATGTATCTATCTATCCTCCTTATTCGTGTTCTGGCGCCTGGGTCGTCCCGCGCCTTATTTGTCGCGTATTACTCGTATCACTCGTCCCATCACTCCTTATTTTTCGCGTATTACTCGTAACACTCGTGGAGAGAAAATGATATTCTTGAGCTCTTTTCTTTTTCTTACGAGTTATACGAGTAACATGTGAAAAATAAGGAGTGCTGGGGCGAGTGATGCGAGCAATACGCGAAACGCGGAATGGGATGCGCGAGGCGCCTCCGGGGGGTCCTGGGGCCGTTGGGGAGGCTCTAGACATGACAGCGTGCAACCGCTTTGGCCGTTTCTTGCTTGGCGCCCGGACATCGTCGTCGTTGTCAGTCGGCCGCCGCCGTGGTTCGTCGTAGATCACCACCCACCAAACCACCCCAACCCAACCCGAAGGCCTCATTTTGCCCTCCATTTCCAGTGGGGGGGGGGGTCCGGGAACATCGAAAAAACACATATGGAGCCCATACCCCCCCCAACCCGAAATTCGGGTCTTCGGGTTGGGTTGGGGTGGTCTGGTAGGTGGTCAGTAGAAGTCGAAAAGCAAAGTGTCAAGTTCGACTTGCCCCTGTCTGACTCAGTCCGGGGTAAGTCCACGGTTGACGGTTTGATTATCGCAGTGATTGAGACGACTCCCCCCCCAGTCCTCCCCTCGAGCATTTTCCCGTGTATCTTTTCTTGTATTTTTTGCGCCCCAATCAGTTCGAGGGTAGCCACGTGCCGGGCAACATGCCCCTTTCATTTTTTAGTTTGCCCCGTCATTTGCGAGTTGGCCGAGCTGCTCTGCCGTTGAGGATTTCTGCGATGCCGTTATGGTATAATGATATATGTATATATAACATTATATATATATATATATATATATGTATACATGTATCTGTATGTGTACATTTGTATGTATATATCTTCCTTTTTAGTGTTTTGGCGCCCGAGTCGTCCCGCGCCTTATTTGTCACGTATTACTCGTATCACTCGCCCCATCGTTCCTTCTTTTTCACATATTGCTCGTAACGCTCGTAGAAAGAAACTAATATTCATGAGCTTTTTCTTTTTCTTACGAGTGATACGAGTAACATGTGAAAAATCAGGGGTGCTGGGACGAGTGGTACGAAACATGCGTGAAACATGGGGTGGGGTGCGCGAGGCGCCTCCGGGGTGCCCCGGGGCCGTTGGGGGGGGCGCTAGACACGGTGACGTGCAGCCGTTTTGGCCGTTTCTTGCTTGGCGCCTGGACGTCGTCGGTGTCAGTTGGCCTTCGCCGTGGTTCGTCGTATAAGTCGAAAAGCAAAGTGTCAAGTTCGACTTGCCCCTGTCAGAGTCAGTCCGGGGTACGTTCACGGTTGACGGTTTGATTTTCGCAGTGATTGAGACGACTCCCCCCCAGCCTTCCCCTCGAACATTTTCCCGTGTACCTTTTTCCTGTATTTTTGCGCCCCAATCAGTTCGAGGGTAGCCGCGTGCCGGGCAACATACCCACAGGCCTCGGAACAAATTGGCGAACACTCCTCCCGCATTCATTTGTCAACGCCTCCCCCTCCCCCCAATGTTCAAAGTTGGCGGTGGGTCGGATGAGATGCACTGCGACCGCAGTCTCGCGTGAAACATTGAGTTTTTTGGGGGGAGTGTTCAGTAATTGTTTCCCTCTACCGTATGTGCCGTTGGAGCGCGGGAAGGTGGAGCAGGGATGGGGGAATGATGAGGGGGGCTTGGGGAGGAGGAGGAGGAGGAGGAGGAGGAGGAGGAGGAGGATGAGGAGGAGGAGGAGGAGGAGGGGGAGGAGGAGGAGGAGGAGGAGGAGGAATAATAATAATAATAATAAGAATAAGAATAATAATAATAATAAGAATATTAATAGTAATAATGATACTACTAATAATAATAATACTAATAATATTAATAATTAAAATAATGATAATAATAATAACAATGATAATAAGAATAAGAGTACTAATACTACTAAGAATAATAATAATAAGAAGGAGGAGGAGGAGGAGGAGAAGAAGAAAAAGAGGAGGAGGAGGAGGAGGTGTTGGAAGAGAGTGCAGGGTGACGAGAGGTGCGACGACTACGACGACGTGGTGCTTGTTTCTGTTCTACTTGGAAGCCTCTTGGGGCTATATTGGGACCCCCGCAGGGCCGTTTTGGAGGCCTTTGGGCCTCTCTTGGCGCCTTCACCTCACGAGGTCTTCAGTCCTGCCGGGCACCGCCCCCCCAGAGCTCTTGGCTGGCAACGGACTCTGCACGTCCCCTTCCCTTACCCTGTCTTTACCACGACTCCCCTGCCCATCCCTTCCTCCTCCTCCTCTGCTGGTTGCCTGGGCCATGTTTTGACGGGATCTCGAGGCCCTCGGCCCCCATGGAGGCTCCCTCCCTGGGCTCTAGTGGTCAGGCTCAAGAAGCGCCGCCTTCTGAGCCTAGCTACGATGAAGAGGAGGATGCTGCTGCTTTCCTCCTGAACTTAACCACGCTGCGTTCTACCCCCTGGGGGGGGAAGAAAAAAACAGCGGCGACGGCGGCGGCGGATTTGTTTTCCTTCGCGGCGCAGCAGAGGTGATCCGTCCCTGGGTCCAAGCAATCTGGTCTACGGCATGGCGACTTGTCCCTCATGCAAGAGGAGAAAGAAAAGAAGAGAGCCGGCCGCAGACACGAGGGGGAGGAGGAAGGCGATTTCACGCGGGGAGGCCGCGGGGGGAGTGCGGGGCGGCCAGGCCGCAGGGCAGCCCCTGGCAGCGAACGCGGGGCGGCGTCGTGGGCGCACTTAGGGGCGGAGCCGGCAGCCGCAGTGCAGGGCGGGGCTCAACAGTGCTTGCGTTTAGGATCCTCACTTCCCTTCCAAGGAACTGAGCCCTTCTGTTGGCCCGGCTGCCCCGTTTTCGTCCGTCGCCGCCCTTATTTATCCCAATGAAATGCCCGTTTGTTGGCTTGGGGGCCCTATTCCCGTCGGTCACTGCCGCCCCGTTGCTCCCCCCCGTTGCATCCCCCCTCCCGTTCGCATCTAAAGTTTTGTAATGCTGAGCATTGCTTTGCGTTGCATCGGTCCGCATCGCATGGCATTGCTTCGCATTGCTTTGCGTTGTCTTGCGTTGTTGCATCGCTTTGCGTTGCTTTGAACTGGTGTGCGTTGCTATGTATTCGTCGCGTTGCGTTGCGTGGCTTTGCATTGCTGCGCATTTTTTCGCAGTGTTCTGGACCGTTTTGCTCAGCTTTCCATGGTT